GGCAATTTATGCTTATCGCTCAACTTTATCTGTTTATCCTTATATAATTTATCAAATATAAGGTCAGCTTTGGTTACATCGAAAGAGAACGTTCTAGCCTTTATGTTTTCATCTTTTATAGGCTCATCTTTGTCTGACGGTCTAGGTTTAGCCATTATAGGATAAGTATATGTGTCTCCTTTAACTAATTCGGCCAAACACATTTCGGTTTGATCGTAATACTCATCGTTAATGGTATGAACATCAAAATTTGGGTCTCTATAATAAGTCCCTTTGCTGAAATTTTTCATTTGTTCTTCCTCTCTTATTAATCGTTCGTATCTAATCACGTTCGCGCTCAATTGGAAAAGATCAGGAAATTTCTTGTCTTGGAACTTCTTCTTCAAATCAAAGTTTAGACAACCTTGAGCGATTTTGACAGACTCATTTTCGAGCAAAGGTACAAAACATTTACTTCTTACTATTTTGAACCTTTGAAGGAAACTTTCTGCCCATTCGTTTGGCATTTGACGTAGATTCGCCAAATCGGCCAAAGTAACTTCAGACTCAGTCTTATAAAACTGAGCGTGGAACAATTGCTCCAATTGTTGTCTTGTTTGAACAGAGTTTGCTGACAAATTGATGAACCAGGAGAAGGCTACTCCTGTTAATGAACTAGGGAATAGCCTCATTTTATGGTAATCAGTTACGTCACCACTTTGCAGCGCGAATCGCCCTATGTGTTCTAGAGTAGACACCTCTCCTAAACCGGTAAACAGTGAGAATTCTGGCACTTTATACCCTCTAGGCCACGGATATGCTTGGTCTACCCAATCAGGATATGGCTTTGTGTAAGTCGGCCTAGTGACAGGACGTACTTCGAAAGCCATCTGGTCCTGTACAATTTCCATAATCTGATTCCTCAACATGACGTTGGGGTCATATGGAATCCCTACAGGTTAGTTGACCGATTGATTTGCTTGAGGCCTGATGTTTGGTTCTTGATTGAGAACAAAGTTATCATGATTTTGGTCATTGTTACTAGTAGCCTGAACATTTATTCCATCATTAACACGTGGGGTATTCTGCCCATATTTAGGACATTATCTCTTACATTTGGATTACCCCCCAAGTTAGACGTACCAATGCCACTATTCTGATTTGGTATTGCACCACCCCCTGGTTTGAAGTAAAGGGATCAAAAGGTGGTTCTACCCCTTAATTTAAACTTAGGACTGAGGGATTATGTCCCACGATTGTCCTAATTTGAAAGTGGTTTGTAAAAAGTACAACTGGCTGACAAATTTGGCCTACCGACTTATTTATTATTTCGTTCAAAATATTCAGTTGTTTGGCCATGTTATCATAATGTGCATTCTCATTCTGGGTAAGTCTTTCCATATTATGAATACTTTTTAGATTTACCTGTTCAACGACATATTGTGGGAGTTCTCCGAGTAATGCACGCATGGTTCGAGGACTCAACTCTATCATTGGTTCATAGCGACTATGATTGCTCTGATCCTGTCCATCTGTTCATGGAGAGCTATGCTACTCCTCATATCGCTCGATTACAGACTGGACTCCTCCCTGGCTTGCTATTTCCTTATCGGATTTCTGAGACATATTGTTTTACCTTTTGTATCTTCAACACCAAACACCAATGTCCCACTGGGCGTGCCAAATTATTTCGCTCGGGTAGGCACTAACATTTAAAAGGGATCAGACGATTGTGTAAGGGACAAACCTCTTGAAACAAAATTCCAAAAAGGGGTGTTTTATTGGCAATGACTTTACAATAGGAACTTAAACAGAAATGCCTCCAAGGGGCGCAAATACACGAGTACTGAAAAGAAATGTTTTAAGTCTAAACTAAAAAATTGAAATTATATATTCTCTATTTGAGAGTGTTTGATTCGGGGTCCTTTGCTCTATATCTTTTCTTTCTTTTATATTTCTTTGATGCTCTCTTTGTAATCAACCGCTTAGAAACCGCTTAATTGCTTTATAACTGCCCACTTTCTTCATGGTGGCCAACTTATTGTGGAACTGCCGTCTCTAACTGCTGCCATTACTCTTTGTCGTTCAACCATCCTCAACTGAACATCCTTGAATCGTGGAACGTGATAAGATTTCCCAATAACTGCTTCGATAATTGCACTTTTGGATAACCATAACATCTCATGTTTGCTAAGATCCTGGGCGATTAGAAAGTTTGGGTGAGAACAAGGTCATAACTCTGGGCGACTGCAAGACACTTCATTCGCTCAGATTCTGGGCGTCTTGTAAGTTTGGGCGATGGTGTTATCGCGTTCGTGGGCTTCCACTGCATTTATTAATAATCATATTTGGGCCTTTATCCTGAATTGTCTAGTCGGGCTTCATTCTTTGAGCTATTTGAATTAGGCTGTACTTTTTGCATGTCAACACATACAATGGCAATGCATATGATTGCAATGGGGCTACATGTATCTTTGCTATTGATGTTCATACATGTCTCTAAACATTTCCTTAGTATCCTCCACCCTATCCAATCTAGTCAACCCCTTCCCTAAAATCATTTCTCTTTTTATAGTAAAACTCCAACGCCATATCGTTACTAAACGCATGTAAGAATTTCCTCAAATTACCTTTGGTAAATAATGTAACATGTAAGAAATCCAACAAAAAGCAAGAATCCATGTTCGTATGTCAGATTGTTTGGCTTATCATAAAACTCGTCTCCGTTATGCACTTCAATAGTGAGATAGCTAAATTTGCACCTACATACAAATTATATGGAAATAAGGGAATTCACACTGATCAAATCACATGAAAATGAGAGAATGCACACTGATCAAATCATACGGTTGAAGGAATACACATGGAAATGAGGGAACGTAAATCATACGATTGACGGAATGCCCAAAACCCAGCAGAAACCACGAAAAGTTGCAAATTATAAAATTGGCTTTCATTTCTGATCATCTGGAAGTGTTTCAACTACTTTTACAATTCCTATTTGAAAAAATTGTAGTCGTTAATTCGAAATGGCAAGGAAATTGAGAGAATGCACACTGATCATGAAGGGAATGCATGTATACCATAAATAGGTAGGTAATTGTCGGGGTCTCTAAAAACTGGAGGAAAGCATTCTAAGTCCCTTTTTGGCCCCCATTTTGTGGAAATGAAAATTGGTGGAATAATATTTTTTTGAAAAAAGTAGTTGAAAAAAAGGAAAAGTTTTTTATTTACGTGTAATATTATTTTATAGAAAATTGTGTAGTTGAAAATAGAAGAGATCAAAATGAAATGTAATGGAATGAAAATTAATAGGGGACATAATATACTTATGAAACAACAATAAACTCCATAAAACAACATATCTTACCCTTAGTGACTCAAAACACGAATATATGAAACGAAAAATAAAAAAACCCAACCCCAAACAAAAAAATTTCATTCGCTCACTTTACCTTTCACTTTCGTGTAGAAATGTGTGACGAGGAGAGGAGGAGAAGAGGAAGTAATGACTGCCACATGAAAGTGAAAATATATAGGAGTTTTTGCAAGAAGGGTAACCATGCTTCTTTTGGCCAAAAAATGTGTTTGACGATTTTACCTTCGTATTTGAAAAGAAAAACTGAGTACAAGTGTTCAATTAACAGATAAATTGACAGCAAATGGACGAAAGGATGGTTTTTGCAATGAAAAGTATATATAGGGATGAAAATACCAACAAATGTAAGTTGGGGATGTTTTGCTTAGTTATATTAAAATATAGGGACATTTTGTGGTAATTACCCATATTTATCTACTAAAATCTAAAATGTTTTCGGAAATTATGGATTGAATGGAGAAAAAAATTAAAAAATCTCTGAACCCTAAACAGATAAACCCTATTTACAACAGTAGCATTTATAATATCACGAATCGTATAGCGATTAATAGATTTTTGATTCCCCATCTGGACTCTTAACTCAGTGTTCATTCTTTCTGTTTCACTCTTTACAATTTATTGTGGATTGAGATGACTTCACTTTCAGAACTCAACGACGATATAGTTCGTAGCATGTCAATCGGAGCCGTCTTCTCGGATTTCGTTAGTACTCTGTTGCCGATGTTTTTTTACTCCCAGAATTTACATTTCCATTATGCTAAAGTTGTAATCATTCACTTTAAATTTTTGTATTAATTGGAAAATACGTTTTGCGGCAAACTGGGACTATGTGTATTATCTGTAAGCAGGTAAAAGATGTATGTTGGTAGAATGCTGTTCCGATTAATTTTATTTTTTTAGTGATGTTTAAATTGAAGTACACTGGATTCTCAGGATTTGGAACATTGGTTTAACTCCAGAATATATGCGTGTCTTGTTCAGGGTGGAAAAATTAATTCCATTGATTTTCATAGGACTGCTGATTTATTAGTAACAGCTAGTGACGACAATTCAGTGCGACTTTATGACATCATGAGTGCCAAGTAAGAGCTTAATAGGCTATAAGTACTCTGCAACCTTGTCGAAACCCAAATCTTCTTTTGCTGAAGGATTGTACCTTTAACGATTTTGTGTAAAACTCAGGTTGCTGAAAACAACTTATCACACGAAGCATGGAGCTGATAGGATATGCTTTACTCACCACCAAAGTTCTGTTATTTGTTCTTCAAGGCACAATTTGGATTCTGATGGAGGTTATGGCTTTAGCCTTAATTTTTAATTTTTGAAACTATGACATCCGGTTTCTGACATTTTTCTCTTTGCTTTATGTTTTTGTTACAGAAATATTGCGGTATCTATCTATGTATGACAATAGGTGCCTTCGTTACTTTAAGGGTCACAAAGAGAGGTGAGTTCTCATGCCTTACTTGGTTTCTCTTCCATTGAGTGTTGATATTAGGAGAGCAAGATTGCTCCGATAGGGAATTCTATCTTGCATTATCTACTAAGGTTAATCTGGATATCTTTATTTGGACACATTCATAATGCTGGGAATCCATTCACATATTTTTTGGACACATTCATAGTGCAGGGAATCATTCATGTATTTTCATCCCATGCATTTTTTAGAAAAAGTGGTTATATTCTTTGAGTTTGCTGAAAAAAATATTATGTACTTGTCCCACAAAGTCTTAAGAAGTTTGTTTTCTTTTGCCATTGGCTCATGTAGCAACCGAACCTAAGTTTTAATCTATTTCATCTTGACATGTTTTGTTAATAAGTCTTTGTATCAAAATTTTAGTTTTTGGTCAAATGATCAAGTATTCTTCTAGTGAGAAATTTCATATCAATATTGGGCTTGTTTCGAAGCTCATATTAAATGGCGAATTTTGTACTCGAGAAAAAGTCATTTCGGATAAGCTAGGCCTTAGTTATGTTAGTTCAAAGGGAGTCCCATTTTAATTAAAGTAAATAAAGAAATTAAATAGTTTTGGCAACCACTAGATAAGTTGAATTTGATGAATTCCAGCCAATTTACGCTTATTGTATCACTGTTTGATTAGAGAACTTGTGTTAATATATTCAAATGAAAAGTAAAATTTTGTTATTGGAATTCAATATTTATCCAATTGCAGCCAATTAGTTTCTCATGATAAATTTCAAATTTGTACCAGGAACCATTAGACTTAATTTTAGATCCTGGTTCACGTATAGGTTTCAATAAAATTAGGATGCTATTTTATAATAATTAAAGATAATTTATGTTGATTGGGTTGTTAGGGATTAATGGGAGTCCTAGTTTAATTGGACATCTAATTCAACTTAGTGAGACTTTAGTTCTCATATTTAATAGAATACTAGGCATACCACAGCTTATGATTCACGCCATTTTAAGAACTCATCAGTAAAATTCAGAGGCCAGTTGATTCTCTCGTGTTAGTCATTTTTAACATTCAAATACAAAGGAATTTGGTTCAACATAGGACTTCCTCATCACCACAAGCTAAGGTAGGATCCCTACGCTAAATTGTCGTAACATGAATTTAATTTTCAATTTAGCATGTTATTCGTTATATTTGCATGAAGTATATAAAGTGCCTTTAGAGCTCTCTTTTAAATTTTGATGAAGAAAGGTTATATATTTTTAAACTGGTGGTCGTAGAGACTCATCAGAACCTTAATTATATATGTTAAACTGATGGTCGCAAAGACTCATCAGAACTTTGAGTAGATCGTTTGATCATCAATTTACTTATTTATGATGTTATGTAAGAATGCATGATTAAATATATGATTATTATGTTCATGTAGCACATGTAGTATACTGAGTATTTCTTTGAGATACTCCTATTTAACTCTTTTCAGAGTAATCGGAGATCCGGCGGTGGTTTGGCATGAATGACATGTGCTATTTTTAGAGAAATTCATCTCTTATGTTTTAGATTGTCACTTTTATATTTAATAAACATTGGGTGTCCTTGAGACAGTAGTTTGAATTCATGTTTTGAGACGGAAGGGTTTTTAATGTTCGTATGTGTTTTTTTGAAGATTTCAAAAATTTGCTATTTAAAAATTTTGTTTTGGTCGATAAATTAGGAATATTTTAAATTAGTAGTTCTTGAAAGCTTGAAGACTAAATTGATGATAAAATTGTTTCATGGTTGATATAATATTTTTATGATGGTTTATTCAATTCAATTGAGTTACAACAAAGGGATCTAATTAATTCCAGATTCTGGCCTAAGTTTAAAAATTCACCCAGACCTAAATACTTGGAATTTTGGGGTGATTCCAGTTGGAGACGATAGCCATATGAGTTATCTATCTCTTGGATTTTGGATCACGAACTTTGGATGTTTAAAACTTAAGTTATGAACATTTTCCCGAGAGGTGCCAGAAAGTACCCGAGAACAAATAGATCCGGATTTGAAAATAATTTTGACCAATCTATCGATTGAGTTTGTACACGAAATTTTAACCTGAAATTCTCCTAGGTGTAAGGTGTCTACAGTTTAAATTTTGTACATTTTGGATTTCATTTAGTTGTCGAATGAGATTTATTTCGAAAGTCGTACAAGCTGTAAATCTAAACTTTCCGAAAGAAATTTTCTGAATCTTGTAACAGGTCCTCTGAAGTCTTAATGCTTTTAGTACAAGTAAAATTTCCGCATTATATGAATTATCTAGGTAGAGTTTTACAAATTTAAGGCCTTTGTAATGTCATGAGCCCCAAAGCTTGGGGCACTACAGGTCGAGGAATTATTGCTTTTGATAGCACTCGGTCTGAGTAATTTTCTAATAGTTTTGACAGCAAGTTTTCAGTAGATTGTTTACTGTCACCCAGAAAATCTTCCTATCTTGTTGCATTCTCATGTTGATTATGGCTTGAAATTTCACACACAGAATTATTGTGATCACTAGTAAAATTCGACTCTAAAGTTACATCTAGTGCATGTCCTTCTCTGTTAGATGAAGCATCTTCTCTTCAAGAATGCAGCATGTTATGAGTTTATTGTGCGGAGAATTTGCTGAGTAGCATTTGATGCCAACCATTCTATGGATTTACTAACTTCAATCTGGCTGTAGGGTTGTGTCTCTCTGCATGTCTCCAGTCAATGACAGCTTCATGTCTGGTTCACTTGACCATAGCATCCGGATATGGGATGTTCGCGTAAATGCCTGTCAGGTTGGGATTTATTTTTATTGATCAAATCTAGCTATCTGCTTGAAGATGATTGGATAAATAATTCTTGCTCGACAGATTATACTGGGCGTCGCAAGATGCTTTTTATTTTGGCTTTGAGAAGTTTATTTGGCTCCAGTATTATGGTGGAGACCTTGAGGATGTTTTAACCTCTGACTTCGATAAGAGAATATTCTCTTAACTGGTGCATAGTGGCAGTTTAGTAAACAAAATGCACATATATTGTTATGAAAACTGCATGCACGCAAAACCACTAAAACGCCCTAGTTTTTTCCTTTTTGGCAGGCGAGCATTGAATTGAGTTTTTCTTTTTTATCAAAATAAAATACACAATTGTGATATGTGCTCACTCTTGTAGTTTTCAGGGAATTTTACATCTACGAGGTAGGCCTACTGTTGCTTATGATCAACAAGGCCTTGTCTTTGCTGTGGCTATGGAAGGAGGTGCCATCAAATTATTTGATTCTAGATCATACGACAAGGTTCTCACTTTCGACAAAGTAGCTTGCTTATAACAAACTGATTCTTCGATCATAATCATCTTCATTTCCGTTTAGGGTCCCTTTGATACTTTTCTAGTTGGTGGAGATACCGCCGAGGTCAGTGATATTAAATTCAGCAATGATGGTAAATCAATGCTTTTGACAACAACAAACAACAATATTTACATCCTCGATGCATATGCAGGAGAGAAGGTTAGCCTGAATCTGTCTTGTTGAACTTGTCCGTCATATTGCATATGATCTTGTAAAATATACTTGGGCGTGAAAATATAGCTTCTGTACTGGGGTGTTCATTGCTGTGGCAATATATACCAGTTTAAATGTTCAGCTTTCTCTGTTGCAGAAATGTGGGTTTAGTGTGGATCCTTCATCAGAAACGACAATAGAGGCAACGTTTACCCCTGATGGTCAATATGTGGTTTCTGGTACCACTTCTTTCCCTTGTAATTATTCATATTAAAGTTAACACATAGGTGATGATATTATTTTGGTAGTTTGATGATGATGATAATATGCTATTAGATATCTTTAATAACATTAGTTACTGAAGCTTGTGGACTATTTCCTTAGGTAAGGTGAGGCAAGTTTTGTTTTCAAACATCAAGCCACAATTACAGCAACATCTCCAAAATATATAATGGACACCTGCTACTTAGGTCTTAGAATTTCTAGGGATTTTTTATGGCCTCGTGACACTCAATTCTGCTGGTATTTGTTTGTGACATTGTAACTGAAATTGGTTCGTCTTGGTTCCAGGTTCTGGGGATGGAAATTTGCATGCATGGAGAATCGATACACCAGACAAGGTAACTTTCGTGTCCATGTGTCCAGTATGATCTAATCAAACCATTTTGATGTATGACGATGGAAGCTTTTGTGAGTATCACACAAATGCTGTCCACAAAGACAGTTTTGCTAAGCCTGTTACACAGCCTGTGATAGAAGTTGTGGACCCTTTCTACTACATCTGTAAATTTGTAATGCTCCTTGCGTTCGAGTTATATGCTATTAGTAAATCGAAGTTACAAAAAATCCCTAAGTTCCCATATCTAGTTCCAAGCTTCTGATGATGCTCAATTCCTTCCCATAGAAGTAATTAATGCAAATGTTTAACTCATGAATTTAATGATTTACTCGGGTACTGTCCCCAAATATAAATTATACACAACCAAGAAATCTAAAGAACAGTATGTCCTGGACCTGAAGTTCTCTCCCTTGCTTTTGGCTTGGTTCCCACTTCTCCCTTCTGTCCTTTCCAAACAGGCATCCAGTAGTTTGCAGCCGCGTAGCCCCCTTCCTGTAATGTGTCCACAAATAGTAAGTGCATGGTCGGTACGCAGTATTGGGCTGGATTGGATAGCGTAAAGGACAAGATTAGCTTCTTTTCCTTCCTTAGTTGTCCAAAACTATCCATTTCTCCCCACCAAACATTCAATATAGGTTATCAGAGAGAAAGGCAAAGCAGTTGGAACCATGCAGGAAGGTGTTCCAATGAGTTTTCTGTTCAAACCATTTTTCTTCTTTTTTCGGGTACGATGGTGGTTGGTTTTTTCTTTTTTCATTTTTTTTTTTGTGTGTTGGGGGGGGGGGGGGGGGGAAAATTTTTCCCCCTTTAATTTTTTTTTTTTTTTTTTTTTTTTTTAGATTTTCAAAATTTCTAGTTATGTTATAATTAGAGAATAAAATAAAAATTTAAAATGGGTCTTTAGCGGGTAAATTATCTAAAAATAAAATTATTTTTATTCTTTTTTTTTTTTTTTATCTTCACGGGGCTGGTTCGGGGGGCATCCCACCCTCGCCCTGCCAACCCATTCGGGGCGGATTTTTTTGCCCCATTGGGGGTGGGGCGACAACTTCTCCAGTAACTGTTACTAGTCAGACCTGGCAGCGTATAAGTTAGCGCGAAATGAACATTGTTTGGACTCTGTGGTTATGACTATTATGGGGATTGGGGGCTCAAAAGTACTCTCTTCTCATTCAGTGGGATTGGGATTAGGTGTGTAGTTTGTGATCTTGATTGGACTCCTCCAGTTAGCAAAACACATCTGCCGTAATACCCTTATGTAGGGCTTGGTGTGGATTTAGCCAACACCACAGATAAATATTTCTCACATTCTGCCATAACTACTAGTTAGCATCTTGATTTATAGCTTAAAATGTGTACTAGCTAAGCTAAGCATTAAAAGTTTACTTATAAAAAAGTAATTATATCGGGATGAACGCTAAAAATAAGCTGCTTATTTTGAGAGTAAGATAGAGTTACTTCAGGTATTAGTAATTTTTTTAAGCGTAAGACAGAAGAAAATATTCAAAAATGTTTGGGAGCAAAAAGTTATTCAAATGTAACTTTTACTTGGTTCTAAGCTTAGCCAAACATTTGCGCAGGAGGATGGTTGGATAACCATGATGTTCATGGAATTGTGTTCACATTAATTGATGTTCCTTATGATTTGGAAGATACATTTCTGGCTCTGAACAAATTTTATAATGCATTTGCAGGTGGCATCCTGGGATAGCTACATAGGTGTCGCATCTTGCCTAAAATGGGCACCTCGTAGAGTCATGTTCGCTGCTGCATCTTCGGTACTCACCTTTTGGATACCGAACAACAGCAAGACAACTGCAGAACTTGGAACTTTGCATCCCGAAATGGGAGTTCAACCCGAGCAAATTACTCAAATGAAATCTTAGTCATTTGTTTTATTCAGTTTTTTACTCTTTTGGTTTTGCATACTCTTCTTCTTAATTGTGCTTTCTCCTTTTCTTCCGCTTCGACTAGGAGTCTTTTTTGGGTGATTTCTCTGCTTGATCTCATGACTTTAGAACTTGAATTCCTAAAGAGTCATTGTTCATACATCAAGAGAAATCCCAGCTCAGTACTTAAATTGGTTAAGTTAATAAACTCGGATTGTCAGGCAAATTTTTTCCTATAGAACTCTTTTAATGGTCAAAGCAAAAATTGGTACCTTTAAAGATTTCATTTTAATGCCTGCTTTATAGTTCAAATGATCAATTTATCACATTATTGCGATTTTATTTTCTCCTGAGGCGTGTTCAACTCGAGATGGTTGAGTACGTATTCGATTTTCATATACTTCAAGTCAATGTTCATTTTACTAACGAATTTTTGCCCCTATTTGGTTTAGATAAAAATAGGTTTTTAGTAGATTTTGATTAAAAATGATGGAATGTATTGTTGGTTCCATAGAATGTTTGATTAAAATTAATTGTTGGTTTTGGTCATAATTTAAATTTGTACCAATCAGGGGCTATATGTTTTTACAATATTTATTATTTTATTCAAGTAACGAAAAAGAGTGGATTAGACATAAAACGAAAAGAAAAAGAGAAATCATAAAGGTAAAGATGAAAGCCTTTAGTTGTCGTCCATCAATTTTTGTATTGACGAATCACTGCCCAAGTGAGCGAGGGAGTGATGTCTCAAGCCCGTCAAATCAGTCCAATAATAATCAGTATGGATTGGGCTCACTGGTGGGCCATTTGAGTTGAATTTGCTTCATGGGCGGTTGGAAGGGCCCATAAAGTTTTGATAAGGCCGTCGATGCTTTGAATTGGGTTATAATTTGATGAGAAAATTACATCAAACCCTACCTTTTAACTTTACATTTCATTAATCAGATGCTAAGGTTATTCTTTCAAAAATGAGGTATACCCCATATCCGATTCAACATCACAATTCATCGTAACGCTAATTCATTTTCCTCCCCAAACAAAAGTTCACTTCTTTGGCTGTTGCTTCATTTAACTTTTCCTACTACTACATTCCACAAGTGCACAGTGGCTCTTCATGATGGCAACGCTCCTGTCGTGGACGCATAGCAACGATGAGCGTCATTGCGCATCAAAAGAAACCGTAGCGGCACCAATTGTCGTTGCTTCTTGTGTAGTGCTACAATGATCTATGATCCGTCGTAACTACGACACACCACATGGTACCAATTACGATGCTGGAGCCTAGATGATGGTTGTTTGTAGTTAAGATGGTTATTAGTGCGGTGGTAATGATTGTTGGTGCAAGTGGTGGTGGTGGTGGTTTGTGGATTTGAGGTGACAATTACATTTTCGGTGGTGTTGACAGTGGTGGAGTGCGGGTGATATGGGGTGGGGAAAATGAAGGGTAATTCGTGACCAGTTAATTGGGTTATTATGACAAGTTAATTTGATAATATGTGACAATTAATTTGATAATTAATGATCGATAAATAAGTTATGACCTATAAAAGTATGTAACCTGTGACTGAATTTGCAGTGTGACCTAATATTTTGTGTCTTTGTGACTATGACATTTTGTGATTGTAACTTGTACGTATGTAAATGTTACCATAAATTACATGTTATTGTGGTCTTGACTTGTTTAATTAACACGACTTTTTACAGAATTTTACAAGTTTGAAAATGTATCTTTAAGAGCCCGTTTGATTCTCATTAATTGGGAACATGAGTTTCGAATGGTATTTTTAGGAGAATATATTGTTGAATAGTACGGAAAATTTTTGATATACATGTAGAATATTTTATATTGTAAATGTATCGTTAAATAAAATAAACTAATGGGTGTCAAGCAGGTACTGAATGTTGGTAATTGTGTATTTTTCCCTAATTTGATATGAATGTTTGGCTAAGTTTAAGCAATTTGCTTATAAGTGAAAAGTTTATTTTAAAAAGTTAATTAAATTAATTTACTTGTCTTAAAGTAACTTCTACATTATTGGCCAAAATGCTTTTAACTTTAAATGACAACAAGAACATATTTAAAACATGTTAACTTTTTAAGTTAAATCATGTGTTTTATTTATCCACAATAGTTCCTATTATGCAAGGGCATGGGTCGCTTCAATTGCTTCTCATCATTTAATAAAAGAGCATAAGAATTTTGGGAATGATGTATTAATTTGTCAATGTAGCTAATAATAGTATTTTGAAAAAGGGTATTTTATATGAATTCTAAAATAGGGGTTTTCTTACATCAAATTCTAAACTATAATCCATAACATAAAAAGTAATTTGGGGCCCATAACATGATTTTATAATAGTTATAAGAAACTCTCTTAAACTAATCAGAATATACAGTAAAAAGTAGATTTGATAAGATAATTAAAGCAAATTCACATGAAATTTGATTCAAAACGCACTTTAGGGTTGCTTATGCACATTTTATTAAGTCGCTTTCTTCTCGAAAGAAAAACAATCATGCTACATGTACATTTTTTTTTAACATCATGTTTGACATTGTGTCACGTGACGACATATGATTAAATGTTTTTTAAAAAAACACACTTTCTCGCCCAACACTTTTTGAATTCCAATGAAATGTAAACAAAGATATCAACCATTAAATGTACGCCTAACAGTATTCAAAGAAAAATAACAATATATAAATACTTTAATTTTTTAATTTTTAAGGAGGATTTTGTCATGCGAGTCTAGAGCTACATGATTATATATATTCTTATTGAGTAAAACGGCCGATAAGACAGACTTCCAATCTAAACCGCCAACTTGGCCTTGAGAGAATCCACCTAAGTTCAACTCAAGTTATTAGAGGTGTTAAATAGAGCAATTCGAGTTCACTCACATTTACTCAAGGGACGAGCTAAGCTCAAGCCAGCTTGCCTGTAGCATTTTGGGCTTGACTTGCCCCTTGATCTCGTCCCTTAGTGGGGCAAGCCAGTCACAGCTCGCCATATTTATTTTTTTCTTGGTTGATAATTGTATTTGTACAATATTATAAACATGTAAATTTATAAGAAATATGTAAAAGAAATTATAAATTTGTACAAACCCTTCTCCTTTATTCAAATTTGAAACTAGCTAAATACATAGATTGAATCAAAATTGTACACGAATGATTATTTCAAGTATATTCAACCAAAAAAAAAAAAAAAAAAAAAACTCAAATATGAACGGAAAGTAAAAATATAAAGTTAACGTATAAAAAAATTCATGAATTTTTTTATTGTTGAAAATCTTTAGCAATTGCACTAGCCATCTTATCCTATATTGATATTCTACATCTTACAAGTGATTCAAACACATTAGAGACTCAAACATATTTTCTTTTAATCGACTTCTTTCGTTGAACAAAATCCTGTTACCTCAATGAATACTAGCTCTGATGCTACAATTGACACCAAAGACATTAATAAATCACATGTCGTCAACGATATTATTAACTACTATTTCTCATTTATTCTTCACCATATAAGAAGATCAAATTCAAAATTATTTATCCCGACTTGACCTAAAACACTAAGAATGTGATATTAAAAATATCTAGCTAATTATTGGAAAAAATCAAAATTATTATAGGGATAACACACAAATACCCTACTATTATCCAATAATCTTAAAAATATCTATTTTTCATTAAAAATCAATCTTGTACATTTACCTCCTTTCGTAATTTTATTTTTTTTAAATATATATACCTCATTTACCTCCTCCTGAAAATTAAATGTTGGGGTAGGGATGATAGGTGAGTTGAGCTACTCGTCAACCCATCAACTCTGTTCACTCCAGAGGCGAGCAACAAGCACGAGCCGAACAACAAAAATTCTCGTACAAGTCGGCTCATAATATTGGCTCGCGAGCCACTTGGTTCGCCTATCCCTATATCTTATTGCATTTTTGCAGCTTTTGAATTGACTCAATAGATGCATTTTTACAGCATTTCATCAACTGCTACATTTCAGGTAGCTATTTAGCGTCTAATAGAAAATTTGAATTTGAATTTTAAACTTATTTTCCTTACATTGAAGGCAATGCCATTACCTTCAATTTTCATATAATTTCTGCTCTTATTCTTTAAATCTTTCATTTTGATTAGCATCTACTCTCATCACTCTTCTTAAGTGTTGGATCAATTTTTATTTATTTTTTATTTTTTTTACTTCATAATTTGTTTCCTATCGTACCATTTCGAACAAACCTTTAGCTATCAAACTCTACTTCTATAATTTTTGTTGCATTGTTATACCATGCACTTTACATAATATCTATCTTATCATCATATTCTTTGGAAGAAAATAATTTATTTAGTTTCAGGTCGAACTTTCAAAGGTTCGATGAAAAGTCAAGTTCTGCTATGACTTCCGATAAAATAAAGAACAATTAAGTACTCTTCAGGAACTATGGAATTCAATTTTCATTTTTTCACATAGTTTTGAATGGAATTATAATAATTTTGAAATTTTGATTCTTTGTAGAAATGAGATAATTACATTCTGTCATCAATTTCAAAATGAAGCTACTTTGAGTCATTATGAGTGGACCATATGCATTTTATTTTATAACTTGTTAAACATATTATCATCTTCTATGCAATGTGAATCTCGTTTTCTCAATTTAAATTCTGTTATACCCTCATTATTAAATATTTCTTTAGCCTTCTTACAATGTAGTGGGAAACACACTATGTTGCCCTTATGAATTTATGATTAACACACTATTTTACACAAGTAACACACTATGTTACTATTCGAAAACCACTCCACCATCACCACAAGACACAAGTAATGTTACATCATTTAGCCCTTGTTTGTCAACCATTCTCCTACATTATACTACATTATTTTTTCTACAGTACTCATTTTCAGCCACACATTATTCATTAATATAATATTACACATAAATAAAAAAAATTCCTTCTTTTTAATCACACATTTCAACATCAATCATTATTCTATACTCCAATTTTTGAAGCTAAAGGGCCACAAACAGGGCCTTAAAACCATCCCCACACCATGTCTGCCATCACTACAAAACATAAGTAATACAACATGTTACCCGATGAAATCACTTCTCATCATCGTCAGCTACGACCACCACTATCGTCTAAAAATGAAGTGTTTCACAAATTGAGCTATCATTACATTCTAATTAGATTTAATAAATAAAAGAAAAAGACATTGGCAACAAATAGAGAAAAAAAATGAGTTATATTTGTCATGTACGATCGGC